TTTAAAATCAAAAGATTACTGTCTATTTTTTAATTATTAATGATACAATAATTTAAGTTTTAAAATATAATAAGCTAATTCATACCCACTAATTCATATAATAAACTCATTTTTTCACTATCTGATACTTCTAAATCGCAAATATTATATTACATGCTTTTCACAATTTTATAAAACTCATTAATTATTATTTATTTCACTAAAATTATTACATGTCCCTGTTAATACTAAATAATTTAAATCAGCAATTTCTAAAAAAAATAATAATCAAATAATATTACTCTCTAATTGATTATTTAGATAATTATTTATTTATAAATCATTCTTTAAAATATTTATTACAATCTATTTTCCAATAATATAGCTTTTTCATCTCTTATTAATATAAATTTTACACTCTATTTTAAATATGAAAGTTAATCCAGCATTTATTTTCTCATCAAAAATCATTCTAAATATTCATTACTTGCTATTTTGAATATGAAAGTTAATTCAGCATTTATTTTATTATCAAAAATAATGTTAAATACAAGAAATAGGCATAATATTAAAATATCTTAATTTAGAGTAAATAATACTAAGAAATGTTAATATATTTATTTATTTTTTCAAAATTAAAATTTGTTCAAAATTAATTTAAATTTAAAAATTCATTAGCTTCGATATTTATTTTTAGAATATTAATAATTTTTTAAATTTTATAATCTACAATATTTTAAATATTAATTAGATTATTAAATTTTACAATAAACAATATTCAAAAATATCATTTACAACAATCACTCAAAATAAGATATCTTAATAAAAGTAGATATTTCCTATATAATCCAAAAATTATTCTTAAATATTAATTACATCCTATTTTGAATTTGAAAGTTGATTCAGCATTTATTTTCTCATCAAAAATCATTCTAAAATATTAATTAATTACGTCGCTATTTTGAATATGAAAGTTAATTCAGCATTTATTTTCTCATCAAAAATCATTCTAAAATATTAATTAATTACATGCTATTTTGAATATGAAAGTTAATTCAGCATTTATTTTCTCATCAAAAATCATTCTAAAATATTAATTAATTACTCGCTATTTTGAATATGAAAGTTAATTCAGCATTTATTTTCTCATCAAAAATCATTCTAAAATATTAATTAATTACTTGCTATTTTGAATATGAAAGTTAATTCAGCATTTATTTTCTCATCAAAAATCATTCTAATATATTAATTAATTACCCACTATTTTGAATATGAAAGTTAATTCAGCATTTATTTTCTCATCAAAAATCATTCTAAAATATTAATTACTTGCTATTTTGAATATGAAAGTTAATTCAGCATTTATTTTCTCATCAAAAATCATTCTAAAATATTAATTAATTACGTGCTATTTTGAATATGAAAGTTAATTCAGCATTTATTTTCTCATCAAAAATCATTCTAAAATATTAATTAATTACATCCTATTTTGAATATGAAAGTTAATTCAGCATTTATTTTCTCATCAAAAATCATTCATTCTAAAATATTAATTAATTACTTGCTATTTTGAATATGAAAGTTAATTCAGCATTTATTTTCTCGCCAAAAATCATTCTAAAATATAAATTACGTGCTATTTTGAATATAAAAGTTAATTTTAAGCATTTCCTGATAAAAAAATTACATGCTATTTTGAAAATATAAGTAAATTTAGTATTTTTTAGGGAAGGGATGAGAGTTTACAATCTATATTAGAGAAATGATAAATAAAGTAATAGCTATAGATAAAAATGAGACCCTCTAAAAGAATATGATTATGAATTTATGATCATGATTTTCAAAGTAATTTACTTCCTTTTAAATAAAAAATATTTTGTAATATTGAAATTGACTGAATAAAATTACATCTTTTTTTGTGTGCTAAATTAAATAGGTTAAGGAAATTTTAAAAAAATAATTAAAGGTTAATCAATATACTTGCTATTGAAATATGATATTATATTAATTATCTAGCAATTGAAGGAATTTACTTTCTAAAGAATTTTTAAATGGAAGATTATCAAGGTTTTACAAATTTAAATAAATTAATTACTAGCTATTCAATTTTTTTAAGTGAATGATAATCTTTTAAAGTTAATAAATATTTTTGAAAAGGAATTAATTACATTCTATTTTTTATAAAATTAAAATTAATTAATTTTTTTGCTGATGAAAAATTTTTACTTTCTTTTTAATAATATTTTTATTGGTTTCTGTTAAAAACTTATTTTTTGAATTCAAAGTTAGTTTTTTTCTTGGGAATTCATCTTTCTTTTCTTTTCCTATTTATTAATTTCTTAAAAAATAATATGTTACTAGTTCGTCGTCTTCATCGTTGGCATCATCATAATCTAAGGTTAATTCATTAACTAATTTTAAGATTATTCTAATTAGGTTAATAAAGCTTTAATTGTTTTTTCTTATTCACTAATTTGTTATTATAGTTAAAGATTTATTTTCTATAACTCTTCTATTTTTGCCTCCTTTTTTAAGAATTATTTTGAATAAATTGAGGATATTTTGAGTAAAAATAAAAAATTAACATATTATCTTTTTTGATGATCTTCTTTCAACTCTTAGTTTAAGGCTTGTTCATTTTTACTTTAAAAAAATCAATGAAAGAGATAGATTAGAATAAACAAACATACATGATTGGATAAAACTTGTTAGAAAAATCTTTAACAAACTCAATTTAATTTTTGAGTGAACTTGTGAACTGTTGAGTGTTTCCATCTATCATCTCAATAAGCATGTCATCTAACTAAAATTCAAAAGAAATAATTCCCTTTAAAATAATTAAAGCCTCTTTAATAGGCATTCTATTCTTTGGAACAAAATTAGTTAATCCTTCAATAATATTATTAAGCTATTTGTGATAAACAAAATTTTTAAATTCATTATCATAATTCAATTTTTTGTGCTTATTTGATATCATATTAATATCTATTCCCTAGACCATTGTATAAATTAGATACCCTTTTTAATAATTTATTTAAATAAAAACAAATAATATTTTTTGTTCATAATATACCTAAAGAACATGCTTCACTCTGTTTAAATTAATAAATAAAATAAATATTAATTAGCTTTTAGTGAAATAATTTAAATAAAATATTTACTCTATTGCTTGGTTGTTGTCTCACAGTCACGCCTAATTTTTAATATTCATCATAATAAACCTTACCGAATAGATCAGCTGGGTCATAACACTCTGGTGCTTGATACAAGAAGTTTCCCATCTTTCATTTTTTTGAATTGAATTATTTGAATACCACTTTAATATGATAAAAATATTAGTGCATACATATTGATTGATCGCATAACCAGATTTATTTGTTAGGTTATCTGCTAAACCAAAATCAGCTATTTAATTAATTAATATATTTTATAGAAAATCAATCAAGTTTGTTTGTATTTGTTAAAAATTTACAAACAACTGCATTTCCATGGTAGTCAATTAAGATATTATCCATTTTCAGGTCATTAACAAGACAGCTCTTAGAGTGAATGTAGTAGAGACCTTGAGCAATATCATTAGCGTATTTGATTGCTGATATTTCATTCAGTCTTTTGTTTTAGTTCCTTTCTAAAATTTAGGTGAGAGTTCCTTTTTATTTATAGCATTTAGTTTGGTGTTAAAAACTTTCAATTAAGCGGTTTAATTAATTTTAAAATAATTTAGTATTATTTATTATTTGTACCTTAACACTCAGTTAGAACTAAGTAACTAAATTATTATCCTTCAAATTAATCTAAAAGTCTGACTACATATGGAGAGTCTCTACATTTTTGGAGTATTTCTACTTCTTGTCTCACTCTATTGTTCAGATCTTCGTCAAGATTTCCAAAAGAATCTCTAACTTAAACACCTTTGATAGCATACCTCATGTTAGTTTTAGAATTTTTTGCTAACAAAACTAATCCCTACTATCCCTATCCTAAAAACCTAAAATCAGAGTACCCTTTTTTAGTTAATTCGCTTTTCATAGTCTAATAAATTAAAGTTTATTAAGGCTTTAACTTAGGTTCTTAGATATCAGAAACTTTTGTTAATTAAGATAAAATTTGATTAGAACTAAGACAGTGTAAATGATTAAATCGATGGTTTGATTTTATTTTCACATATTAAATGTTTAAGTTTTTAATAATATCTACATGAAAGTTTTAAAATTTAAATATTAATAATTATCAATCAATTCATTCATAAAAATTAAATATTAATTTAAATATATTTTACTGACTAACTCAGGTTTATCGAGCATTTAGAGACCTTTCATTTTATACATCTCTTTGATTTTTTTCCTGTTTTGAAGATGCATAGCAAGCTTATATTTAGCTTCTTAAGATCCTACAAGATTTTAGCTGATTGTATCCATTTTTTAATATTTCAATATTTTTTTTTCTAACAAATTAATCTGAATTAATTAATTATGTACCAATAAACAAAATTCGTTAAGTTTTTAAATGTTTATTTTTTGTTAAAATCTGATATAAATTAATTAAATTATCTCATAAAAGAATATTTGACATATTAAAATTTTCATTCATAAAAATTGTATAAATACGCATTAAATATTAGATCATTTTATGAATAAGATTTAAATATCTCAACTTGCCATCATTTCAATCACGAAATATTGCAAAATGACATAATAAATAAAGTTAGCAGACTAGCAAGCACGTAAGATAAAGCAAGAAAAAAAACAATGAAACAATTCAAAGCTTTAATAATACAAAGAAGAAAGAAGCTTAGGACTAAGGCTGTTTGTTAGTCATTATTGCAGTAATTGACCATATATACAGCTTTACATTTTAAACTAAATAATAGTTATCATTAAAAGTTATTTAAGTCTTCAAAATAATAAAAATATGAATAAATGGAACAATAATTTTAAAGTAGCAAAACCAAAATATAATTTATAACATAGATGATTTAACAAATGAAGCTTAGATGTAAACATTTTTGCAAATTTTGCTCTAAAATACAATAAAATTTAAGACTATAAACAGATATTAACTTTTTCAAGCCTAATTTCTAAACTAGAACGTATTACAATACCCTTTTCTTTTATAAATATGGTAAAGGATTATCTTATTTTCAAATATTGAGAGCCAATCAACAAAGCACATATGTAATTGCTGAAATAGACACTATAAGTAACTCATATTAGATAATATACCTCACCATTTTTTTACAAAAATAACATAGTAAGTAAATAATAAATAACCCAAAAAAGCAAATACTTTTTCTTTCATCTTCTTTGAAGTTTCCTCAAAAAGTTAATTTTTGAATAAAGGATTAGCGGATAATAAAATATATTTGATATGAAGAACCAATAACCTGAAAAATATGCTACAATAGCTAAGTAAATCTTTTTTTGTGCCTTAAATCTACTCTAAAGTTAGAAGCTCGCTATAAATAAGCTGTATCTTTTACTGAAATATCCATAAAACTTGTATTATTAATAATGCATAAATTTATGTCATTTTTTGAATATGGCAAATAAATTACTAAAAAAGCTAATTTTCGCATGCATTATTTAATAAAAAGAGCTTTGATGTAGTTATATGTACAGCCATTTTAGTATAATTTAGTTATGAAACATACTATCCATAAATATTTTTTATTGAAAGAAATGGTCTTCTATCTATATCAAAATAATAAATAGAGAGCAATTAGAATATTTAACAGAATCTTAATTTTCCTCCTCGTTTGTTATGATTAAGTAAGTGTCTATTTGATTTTTCTTTAAGTAGAGTTTTATTTAAAAGAAAACACATTTATATTATAGTTAATCAAGCTCACATAAAATGAAATATTCGAATTTGAATAGTCAAAAAAACAAATATGGTTGAAAAATAAATTCTAAAATATGAATAATGAATAGTAAGTTTATCATAAAATAAATAAGCGAAGAGATTATAATACCTTTCAAGACTATTTATAGCACTTTTAGGAACAAGCAGCTATAAATTATATTAACATAATAAATAAAAATTAAATAAATTTATTCATTAAAACCTTTTTTTATTATTTTTAAAATAAAATTTAAAATGTTTATATATTTTTATTTTTTATAATAGTTTATTATTTAGAATATTTTGTTTTTATTTTAGTTGAAATCAAATAAAAGTATTGAATAGAATTGCATATTCAAATGATTTTGAATTTGTATTGATAAATTATTAATGTAAATTCATCAAAATTTTAATAACTTCAAATAGGATCTGTATGTGGCGAATTAGATATTTTTATTAATATCCTTTATCTTTTTTCTGGCTCTTTTCATAATCATTTAATTGAGTGGTGAAAAATTGAAGAATATTAGATTAAATGTGAAAAAATAAAAGCAATAGAAGAAAATCCAAAATCATGAGTTTTTAATTCATCATCTTATATTTAAGTAATATAATAGAGTGATAAAAGAATCAACATAGTAAGTCTTTCTTCCTTTGGGAAAGCTCTTATGAGAGGGAGATACTCTGATAATCGAATCAGTTACTCAGTAATGCAGGTATAATGTATAGTAAGATGGCGGGTTTCTTACCTGTCTAAACTATAATTCGGTGGATCTGACCTTCCTATCTGCTGTATTATCTTCTCTTTTCACTTTATCAGATTTCCTATTCGTACTTGGTAATAATGATTGCAGCAGCATTATTGAGTACTCTATAGCTTGATCGCAATAAATTTTTATACTCGTCTGATAAGTGGAATAAAATTAGTTAATTAGTTGAGGTAGCGAATAGCTTACCTCAATTCATTTTCTGCTTTTTTGAGGGTTTTAGTAAAATAAAATGCCATATATTTGTTTTTAATTAATTGATTAATTATTTAGCTAGGCTAAGTAGAAGTAAGAAATTTCAAAAAGTAATTAAATTTAATTGAATTAAAATATATAATAGAAAATAATGAATAGGGCCAACAGGAACATCGATTAAATTTTTTGGATTGAGTCTTTATTGTAAATTTATTGGGATTGAAAAAATGATAGATAAAAAGGTTGAAAAATATAGAAAAAATAAGGTATTTAAATAGCATAATAGCTTTAAAAAGAGATTTTTTTAAAAATAAAGTGTATTTTATTTATTTTTATATGATATTATTTTATTTTTATAAAATTTTATAAGAGATAAATTAGTTTATTTTTTATGAAATGTTATTTTTTTGAATGTCGTCTACTAAAATTGTTAACTTTATTATAAACTGCTGCTTAAAAATTAATTATACTAAGAGCTTATAATATGTTACATTTAATTAGATAAATATTTTATTAGAATATGTTATTTTTTATCAATTAAAACATATTATAAAGGGTAAAGCTAAATTATAATAGATATTTTACTTAGTTTTAGATAGCAAAGAGTTCTTCATTAATTAATTATAAAGGAAACTAAATTTTTTGATTGATATTTTCATTTAGTTTTTCTAAACTTAAAATACATGTTATTATACTTAAAAGAATCAAAAATTGAATACTAAAAAAGCTTTTTTTTTTATTGCTTAATAAAAGAAGAAGAATAAAAAAATATTTTTTAAATTAAAATAAAATTACAAATTTCATTAAAGCTTATAAAATAAAAATCACCCACCGAGGGGCTCGAACCCTCGACCACCAGCTTAAAAGGCTGGCGCTCTACCGACTGAGCTAGACGGGTTTATTAGTAGCTCTAGATTAATTTTCAAAGAGTTTTATTGAACTAATTTTACTTATTTGCTAACACTTAGTAATTTATTTGTTTGTATTTTGTAAAAATAATCTAATCTCTATCTATATATTTAATTTAATCAGAAAAGAATCTGTAATATAAATAACTATTAATTAATTAAAAATAATAAAAATCACCCACCGAGGGGCTCGAACCCTCGACCACCAGCTTAAAAGGCTGGCGCTCTACCGACTGAGCTAGACGGGTTTTGTATTAATAATTTTACAATTTTAAGTAACTTTTATAAATAAAATATTTTCAAAAGGATTTTTTGAGAAATATTGTGAATATAATTTTCAAAATAATTTAATATTTTAGAGTTACTAATTTAATTTTTAATCGTTTTCATCAATTTCACCTAAAAATTATAAAGAGATTAAAAACAGATTTTATTATTAAAACATTGATAAAAAGCTATGCTTTTATAAATAGAAATATTAAGTCAAATTATATTAATTAATTAATTTGTAAGTTTAAAGACAAAAGCTTAAATAATCTAATTTAAGGTCTGATTATCATCAGTTTTCAGCACTTTCTTGAACTATTTATTTTTAGACAAACAATAATATTTTATTTGATAGTTTTTATTCAAATTACTGCTATCAATTAAATATGATATAAAATAATTTCTTTAAAACTGGGATAATTAAAATGTCAGATACGGTTTAAAATTAAATTTGAGGGTTGATAGTAGAAATTCTTTTCTAAAAGTCTTAACCCTTTCAGTAGGCGATAATTATATATTTACCTTTATCTGTTTTAATAAATAAGTTTTTTGTTTTTTTTTAGAAAAAAAATATAGAGACAATTCATTAAAAGAAATATATCAATGATAAAATAGACTGAAACACCACTTTAGATGGATGCTTAATAAATAAGGTCGATTTTCGAGAAAAAAAATTAAAAAATAAATAAAGTACTAAATAATTAAATAAAAATTTTTTAAGAACCTTAATTAAAGAATTAAAAATTAGGTAAGTATGATATTAAAGTAAAATAAATGAAATTTTCTGCAATTCCTGATATATTAAGATGAAGGTAAACATTTTTTAAAAAAGTTATTTTTATTCAGACTTAAAATAACTTGGTAAAAGCTTTTTTGCCTGACTTAAAATAAAGAGTAGAATCTACAGCAATTTTTAAAATATCAACAATTTTGATAATTATTTTATTCAAGACAAGTTACAATAATAAAATTTAAAATATTTTTTGCGTTAAATATAATAAATGTATCAATTACAGTTACTTTATATAAAAGCAATAGTATATTTAACATATTACTAATGATTCATTACATATATTAAATTATTAATATAATTTTCTATATTTTTAAATATTTACTTCAAATTCTTATATTAGTTATTACAAAAATCCCTGTTTAAGTAAATATATGTTATATCTCCTAATTTTAGCAAAAAAGATGCTTAGAAAATGCCTTAATTAATTAATTAATTAGCATTTATAGTAAATCAGTTCTAAATAATAAAATTCTGGTAGCAAATCTTTAAAGGATATGTTGGAAACTTTTTTAATCAGAGTTTTATGAATGATAGATTATAAATGGTTTACATATGGCAATTACTTTATAATTAAATCAGTGTTTTCTATTTATATTTAATTTAATTAATCTAGTAATATTTTAAGTATTATGTTTTCAAATTTTTATAAGATGAAAAAATAAATATTATGAATAGTTTTAATTTTTTTATGTAATTATTATAATTATCTTATTAATTTTATTCATTTCTGCATAAAATCAAACATTAAAAAAATTATTTAAAGTAAAATTAATCTTTGAATAAAGAATTTATTTTAAATGATAAAAATACATTTAATTACTTGAAGATAAAATGAATAAATAAAATATCTCTTTAAGAAATCTTAAATAATTAAACAAATCAACAATTTCTTTTTATCATTTTTATTTGAAAAAATTCGCCGACACTAGGATTCGAACCTAGAATTGAAGAGTTAGAGGATTCCGTGATACCGTCGTAATTACTATTTCACCATGCCGGCTTTTAAATAAAAAATCAAATATAATTCTATTTATATTTATTATAAAACAAAAATTAATTTCTTAAAAATATTTTTAAAATGGCATTAATCATATTTTTTATGATTTAAGAAATTAAACATTTTTTTTTTTAAATAAAAATTTAAATTACCTAGACAGACAATTTGGTTAGTGTTTGAATTATTTTTAGAATTAATATAAATAGTTAAAATTATTTAAGTTATTTCTTGTTTTTAACAAATTAATAATGTTAATTTAAATTGGTTAATTTTTTTATTACTTAAATTTATTAAAATTTTATAAAAGATATGTCTGTCGTCTTAGCTATTTTATTTAAAATTCATCAATAATATTTTATAAATTAAATAAAACTACAATAAATTAGTACAAAAAATTTCGATTTAATAATTTTTTTGAAAAATGTTTTATGTTTTTTGTTCAAGAATTTTATTTATTTATTTTAGTTTATTTTAAAATTATTTTTTTAAATTTAGATATATTCCATTTACAGAATTTTATTATTATTTAAATTTAAATTCTTTATATCAATAAATAGTTCAAAACTTATTATAAATTTTTTCTTAAACATCTAAAAAAGGGAAAATATGTTATTATAGTACCTTCAATAATATTTTTTATGATTTAAGAAATTTAAGCATTTCTTTAAATAGAAATTTAAATTACCTAGACAGAAAATTAGTTTAGTGTTTGAATTATTTTTAGAATTAATATAAGCAATTAAAATTATTTAAGTTATTTCTTATTTTTAATAAATTAATAATGTTAATTTAAATTGGTTAATTTTTTTATTAATTAAATTTTATAAAATATATGTCTGTCTTAGCTATTTTATTTAAAATTCATCTATAATATTTTATAAATTAAATAAAACTACAATAAATTAGTACAAAAAATTTCGATTTAATTTTTTTTTGAAAAATATTTTGTGTTTTTTGTTCAAGAATTTTATAAATATATTCTAAAATAACTTTTATAATGGAAAGTATTATAAATTAAGATTAATTTTTATTATTTTTTTAAAAAAAATAAAATTTTTTATTTTATAGTGATTATAATTAATTTAGAAAGAATCGAATAACTCAATGAAATTTTAATTTAACTTTTTAAAAATTGAATTGAATTTAATTAATATTCTAAAGTAAAGGCTATTTTTAAAGAATAATAAATTATTAGAAATTAAATTTACTTAAATGTAATCGAGATGCTAACTAAAGTAAAGAAGGGACAACAAATTTCTTTTGTTAGTTTTGTAAAAAATACTATTCAGAAAAAAGTTCAACCATTTTTTAGAATAGTAGATTGCTATATTGCTAGATATTTTTCATAATGAAAAACTTTGAAAGAAATTAATCAGTTGAATTATGCAAATAAAGTTTAGATTTAAATAACTGTGGAGATATTTCTAGGGTAACAACAATCAGACGCTATTATCAGATATTTTTAGATTATGTTTACTCTTATGCTTTATAAAAAAATTAGGAGCTTTACTACAAAGATGATGAGCTAGAAATAGATGACTTTATTTTATAAAAAAAATAAGGAAAGGCAAGAAATATGCCTATCTACCTAGATAAATAATTTAATTAAATTTTTTTGTGAAAGTCAAAAAGTAATTTTGTTAAAATAATAGAACATTTTAATTAATAATAATAATAAATTATAAAATATATTAAATTAATTATAGGAAATATTAAATATATTAAACACTGTATTAAATATATTATTTAATTAATTACCTAAAATATTATAATATATTAAAATTCTTTATATAAACGATGTAAAATAATTAATTTATTTTAAATGATAACAATGAATTAAGCTTTGGTTTTGACTAAATTTATTAAAAGAATATTAAATTTAAACAAGAATATATTTAACAAGATATATTGATTGTACTAATAATGTCAAATGTAATTAAAATAATATTTTAAGGATTTACTTATTGATAGAAAATAATCTTATTTGAATTACTGGAAGGAAAAATAATTAATTTGGCCAGAATTAACTAAATTCGCTAAATAATAATTATAAACACCAATGAATTTTGCTCATTACGAAAGGCTCTTCAGCAGATGTGGTTTAATTGACATTTATTTTAAAAATAGAATTTTACCATAAAATCTTGAAAAATTAATACTTCTAAAAAAAACTTACCTTAATTTAAATAAAAATTGTGATTAAATTAAAAATTCAGCCCAATTAAAAAATTAGTGATGATTGAGAACAAAAAAATTTTAATAAATAATTTAATAATCTTTTGAAATATCACAAATCATGATATCATTTAACTTTGGTGATATTTCAAATTCAGGAAGAGCTATATAATCAAATTCAAAAAGCATTCATACCTAATAAATAACAAGTATATAATTATTAATTTTCCAACTAATACATAGGGATGGATATTAATTATCAATTTTTATATTTTTGTTATGTTATTCTTAACCTTTTGATTATTTATGTAAGATTTGTCAAGAATAATTTTTTTTTTTTGAAATTCATTAAAAGATTTGCTAAAATATAAGATTGGAAAAAATTATTTTAATTATCATTCACTAATGTTAATTTAGTTGGGTAATAAATATTGAAGATTTAATGTATTATGTATTTTACTTTCAAATAATAAATCATAAAAGATCTTTTTTATTGATATTTTTAAAAATGGTTTATACTTCTAATCATATTCATTTTAGTAGTTTATTCTTCTTTAAAGTGTTTAAAGATTGATTTGAAATGAAGTATGTCACATTTTAAAAGCATTAATTACCTTATTATATTATCTTTTATATTAAAGAGTTATACATTCTCAATGTTAATTATAAATTGAATTTGATTAATTTTGTTTTAAATAAAAAGGCGCTAAAGTATTAGAATTAATTGCTTACATATCCTTTAAATTAAAAAATGAAAAAAAAATTAAAATAAATCAAAATTGCTCATAAAAATATTAAAAAGAAAAAAAAGAAATAAAGAAAAAAAGATGCTATTTTAAGACAATTAAAGATTCAGCTACCTAAATAGAGTTAGATTATTTTTAATAATTATCCTCAACATTTCCATATTTTAATATTTAAAGTTTATAGGAAATTACTTTACAGCTGGTGAAAAAAATGTCAAAAAGTAAACAATCTTTAAAATATCAATGATAACTCATTAGCTTAACTTTATTTGGATTGATTTTATCTCCTTCACATAAACTTATTTTTATATTTTTATTACAAATTTCATTTATAAAATTGATGATAAATAATATTTATTTATCTATATATCTTTATTTAACTTTAAATAATCTTTATTAAAGAAGAATTTTTTACAACTTTATTAAATGAAAAATAGGTCAAAAAAACAGAGCGTGTTTAAATTGGGTGAACCTAAAACTAAACTAAAATGCTTCAATGTTAAAAATTTAGAGCTTGACTTTAGGTAAGACAATTATTGTTATTTTATTTATAATACATCTCACATCATAGTATTATATGAATGAAAGTAATGCCTAACTAAAAAAATAACTAAAATTATCTTATAAATTGCAATCTATCTGGTTAAATTTAATTATTAAATTGATAATCTTTAATAAAAATTAAGATTAAACGATATTTCAAACTTGAGTACTTTTAGCTTAGCCTTACCAAGCTTTTAGAATATCTAGGTCTTAGATCTCAATTTGGGGTATAAATATTTAAACAATTATTTGATATTTTAATCAATAAAATTTTATTTGAAACTATAAAGTAAAATTTTTTATATTTCTAAAATATAAAATAGTGCAAATAGGATTAAAGACAAGGACATTCCACTTTTATCATCTTCTATAATTAAATGTGAAAAACTGTAGAAGTTGACTCTTGATCTCTAGTAAAATAATATGATTTTAATATCTTTATTTATTTAAGATGATTTGAATTTAATTCATTTTAAAATTTTAGCAGAAAAGACTTCTTTATTAGAAAATATTTTATCTTTTTATTCATGCTAATTTTAATTCATTTAATTTTTATAATTGATGCTTTTCAACCAATTTGAAGGTCATACAATTTTTATGCTAACAGTGGACAAACAAATAGATATTTTAAAACTTCAAATTAAAGCAATCTAAAATTATATATATTTTTAACTTAATTGAAAATTGAATAATTTATTTATTTTAGGAAATTAAATATAATTTATTTAAAAGAATGAACAGTTTCAAAGATTAAAGCTTATCTAGTTTAGGATCTGGCTTAGCTCAATGCCCTAATCTTTCTTACTTAGCCCTAGATCTTAGGTAAATACAGCTTTATTTTTACTTAAAAAAAAAAACTGAAAAACTGTAATTCCTTTAACTGAATGCTTGATAAATTTGTTAATATGAAAATATTTAATTTATTTTAAAAAAATAAATTTAATTTATAAGAATTTATCTACAAATTTTAATTAGTAGAGGAATTATGGTAAGAATTAAATGAATAAATTTATTTTACTCTTTTATATTTATCTTAAATTTTCTAAATTCATATTATAGGCTCAATAATTTTGATGATGCTGTTTATTCTAGCTTAGGATAAGCTTTAGCCAAATGCACGTTGCTGTCTACTTTTATATTGGATCTTAGGTAAAAATATAAATAATTTTTATTAATTTATTTAAATAAATAATATGAATAAATATTTACAAATTAGAAAGAAGATTTTTGAAATTAAAATATTTATAAATAATATCATTTAAATCATTTTTTTAATATAAATAGGAGACTCAGTAATAGAAATGTATATAAAATAGCTTCTGCTCTTGATAATAAAAATAATCTAAAGAACCTAATTCTAAAACTTGAGTGATCAATATATATAAATTTATTTATTTATTAAAATTTTCCACCTATTTTATATTATTTTTACATATTAAAGAATTTATTTATAACTATTTTATTCAATAATTAAATTATTTTTACTTGATTTAGCTAAAACAAAATTGGAAATGATGGAGCTTAATATCTATTCTCTTAATTAGCTAAATGTATCAACCTTGAAAGCTTGACACTTTAACTTTCGTAAAGTTATTCTTCTATCTATTTATCATTTATTTATTTGCTTGCTTTTTTCAAATCAATTATTTTTTATCAATCTAAAAATTAACTAAATTTACTCGAAATAATTTTTTTATTTTTTAAAATTATTTTTAATCAAACAATTCTAAATTGAATTTTAAATTTGTTTTAAAATTTTTAATTTTTTATTAATTACCTTAAATGATGAGTTTAATCTATTAAATTTTGAAAATAATAAAGCTTTGTTATGATGGAAGATTAAGTTACCTCTAGTTTTAGCTTTTGTTTCTAGAAATTAACCAATCTAAGACTATTAGATCTTAATCTTAGGTAAACATATTTCATAATTATATGTTTTAAAATCTATTTTATGTTTAGAAGATTTTAAAATTTATCATACTTTGTTAAATTATAATAGTTACAATAATCTTAAAGGAGGCAAACTCGTCTCAAGCTTAGGTCATGCTATAACAAAATTCAGTCACATCACAACTTTGAAGCTTGATTTGAAGTAATTAAAATTTATATTTTTATTCCTTTTATCTCAGAATAAAATCTGAAAATGAGCTGTTGTTATCGAAGTCATTTAACTATTTATTTAATAATACAATATAGTAGCAAATAAAAATTCAATTTGCTTATATTTATTTTCACAAAAACAATTTAATGCTTTCATATAGGTTTTAGTTTAAGATGTATAATTCCATAAAAAATATTAAACTATGAATGATTTTAAGTAAGAAATAAACAAGGAAGTTTAACTATTTTTTAATTATTTGGTTTCAATTAAGATTCTTATTTAATTATTTTATATAAAAGATCTTTGAATTTAGAGGATGGGAAATGCTTAACTGATTTAGGAGTTAGAATCGCTTCATGTGATAATCTCTCAAATTTGGAAGTTGATCTTGAGTAAAAATTTTGATTTATAAAAAAAAATACTTGCTTGTATTTTTTAAATTGCTTCTTTAAATAAACAAAACTGCCTTAATTTTGATTAAAGGATTTGCAATTAAAATATAACTTTAAAACAAGAGTCAAATAACTATTTTTCCTTTTCATAAGTTTATTATTCAACATAAATTGATTAAATTTTTATTATAAATAATTAATTTCAGAAACACTTATATTGAAGGCTATAACGTTTCGATATTTTTTTCAACTTTAAGCAAAAGTGTCAGTCTCTCATGCTTGAAACTCTTCCTAATGTAAAAAGAAGTTTATTAATTAAAATTATAAAAGAAAAGATAAATTATTTACTTTTTAATAATTGAAAAATTTATTTTGTAGTTTATAATTTATCTATCATTTATCAAAATTAAAATTCTTCTAATATAATTCTTATATTTGTTTAATACTTTATTAAATAAAAAGGAGTTGCAATACAGAAAATGATGAGTTTATAATTTAAATCGCCAAAACTTTAGAAAAATTAAAAAATATCTCAAATTTAACTTTGGATCTTGGGTAAATTAAATATTTTACTTCTTTTACTTATAATTTAGCATAACACATACAGTTTCTTATTATTTACCTTATTTTCACTACTATTTACTGTTGTATTTAGTTGTAAAATTTGAATAGTAAATTTGAAATTTTTCGAAAATCAAAAAACATTTGATTGACTTAATAAAATAAGATATTTAAAATAAAAATTACATTAAATTATAATAAACTAAAGCCTTTTTTACTATCAAGATTATCCATGCTTGGTTTTAATTTTATATTTTTAATTCAATTTATCAAAAGGGATAATGAAATTTAGGATTAAGGTTTGAATAAGTTGGCTTTAGCTTTAAAAAAATGCCAAAAAATTGAATCTTTGACTTTAAATTTGGAGTAAAAAAATATTTATTCATTCATTTTATAAAATTAATCAACCAATAATTAAAAGGAATAATTCATTTGGTGATAAAGGTGTTGCTAATTTAGCTAAATCGTTGTCTAAGTTTCATAATCTAAAATTTTTGGATTTGAATTTAGCGTAAATAAAACAAATTTATTTGTTTATAAAATATCTAATTGAGTATTTTTTTATTAGATTAGCTAATAAAATAATTACTCAAGATTCATTTTTTTTATTTTCTTTAAAATTTATATTTATTAATTTAGCGATAACGAGTTTAATCTTGATGAAAATACTTTTTAAAGATAACTTAGAAAGCTGCAAAGGTTAATCAAATATCAATATTTTCTTTATTATTGATTCGGTCAAATAAATATACTCTCTTTATCAATTAAACTTATTCATATTGAAAAATAAAAAATATGTATTAATTTGATGTCTTATTACATTTTAACAAAACAACTTAATATTTTTGTGTAATTTTTAAAACTCTAACCATAAACTTTTATTTTTTAGATTAATTAATTTTCCTAATATATTTAATAGTTTAACAAAAAAACAATATAATATATTAGGAAAAGTTAATTATATTATAAAAAATTAAATATTAAACACCATATTTATTTCTTGAATATTATTCACCATAACCATCAAATATTTTGAGATTTTTTTGTTCAGAATTCTAAAAGTAGAAAATCCAAGTTTCTTATATGAATTTAAGAATATAATGTGAAATTTAAATTTAATTAATTAATTAATTCTATTATATATAAATATAATTTGCATATATTATATTTTTCTGTGTCAATATTAATAATAATACTATTTTATGCTAAATAATATTTATCATTAAAATTTATTTATGTCTTCATATTAGTAAAAATATGAATAAATGGCCCAATAATTTTTAAAGTAGAAATATCAACAAGTAATTTATAACATAGTTGATTAAATAAATGAAACTTAGATGTAATCATTTTTGCTAATTTTGTTGTAAAGTACAATAAAATTTAAGACTATAAAAAGATTATTAACATTTTCTAGTCTACTTTCTAAATTAGAACTTATTAAAAGACCCTTTTCTTTTATAAAAAAAATTTA